ATATATATATATATATATACACACACACACATATTAACAGAGGAAGCTCTTTATATGTTTTTAGATTGTTGCACAAGCATTGCACATGCACTTTTTGTGACTCTTCATGATTACATTGTCTACAATTATAGAAAGACTAGTTTTAAAATAAGTTTTTAAGCTTTATCAGTAAGAGAAATTCATCTAGAGTTATAAAATTGATCGATCATCTTGAATTGTTGAGCCATGATTATTTTAGCTTGTATACTAGTCTTACAACACTGAGTAAAGAAAACAGTAATTAGGTTGAATATTATGACTAATACAAGAATTCCAAGAAGTAATAGAAATAGAAATTGTAATCCGGATCTCAAAAAGGAATCACTACCTGAGGGAAGCCAACCAAATAAATCAAGACCGGGTATGGGGTCGCTCAAGGCATTCACTTGCTTTCTCATGTGCTTTAAGAGGGATGACACACTGGAAGATTCATCAGGTATATAGACACAGCATTCAGTCCCAATAATTGCACGTGTACCAACTTGGGAGACTGTTAGAATACGTAAAGCCATTCTATTTTGAAGGACAGCCTTCCTCATTAAAGACACTTCAGTATTTAACAAGGCTATTACTGCTTGACTATCGTTAAGGGCTTGTTGAGTAAATGTAGTCAGAGCTTCTACATGTATTATGACATCCTCTAGCCCCACGGAAGGAGCAAATATAGCCGTTAGGTGGTCATACCAGTGGAACACTGAATGAGCCCATCTGGCCTTAAGGAGAGGAAGATAAGCAATGGATGTTAGCTCAGGGCAAATCCTTCCTTGCATCCAAGGGAAACCCAGGGTGCAGCATCCTAGCCATCCAGGTGGTAGCCAAGGCTAGAAGTTTGTTCCACATAACCATTGAGTTCCATTAGGAGCCACCCAGTAAATGCCTGGCCACCAAGACCAGTCTGTTCCAAACCAATCACTTTCTTTAAGTATGATAGTATTTTGGCATGACTCAGGGGGTATCCATCCCATATTTCGAGTGCAATTCAGAAAATTTTGTTTGGAATGATTTCTTTGCTCCCAACATAAGGGTACTGGTGTAATTAAAGATCCATAACTAGGAGTAAGCCAAACATATCCATCCCAGATTTGTGTAAAACCTCCCATAGTTCTCGCAGAATTATCTATCTTCTTTTGTTTCTTTGCAAGTTCTTGGGATAATTGCATAGTATAAGTAAGAGACAAAGAGTAGCCATGCCCTGTATCATTAACAGTACGGGCTATTGGCCATGTTTCAGGATCATAATTAGTAATATTGGATGTACTATGGATATTAGATCTTTCCATCATAATAAACTGTTTTAAAGCTTTCCAGTCCGTACCTTGTAAGGGAGAAACCCACCAAGGTAACCCAGATGTACTAGAAAGGGTAAGTTGGCCACATATCCAACAATTGGACTGATTTTTGTGTGTGGCAAAGGAGTGAGCCCATTGTGAAAAAAACATTGCCATTAGAGGCCCATTCAGATGTGGATTGAAAAAACAAACATGGTATCAGGAAAATCTTAAATGACATTTTTGTGATTAATCAAAAGGGTTTCATAATCAGGTTCTAATCTATAAAAAGTAAGGCAATCTAGAAATTAATTGTTTATCAATTATATAGAGTCTAAACTTCACAAGGATTTAAATGAAGAGATATAAGGTTAAGAATACAGGCCTGGTCCGGAGTCTTGGGACAGCTGTCTACAACAGATGTCGTCTTCTTCTCATCCTGGTTTGAAGATATTTGTATTGGTCAGTTGAAGTCAGGTGTCAGAAAAGGAGTTGAAACCCACTGAGCCTGGTACCTGGAGACCCAAGAGTTTCCTCAGTTTTTGTTCCGTTTTATGAAAAGTAACTTAAGATCAGTTAGAAGCTCACAGGAATACTCTCGGGTAGAACTGCTGGCTGTAGGCCTCCATGCCCACCCAATGTTCAGATGATTTGGTCTTTCTGTCTCCTGCTAGCCACAAAGAGCGTTACCTGCTTGAGAATTATAAAGAGGATGCTGAAGGTCCTGGCTGGAAATGAGTGCTATTTTTACTCGTGAGTGGGGTACCCAAGGCTTAACTCCCTATAATTTTACTGAAAAATGTGTAACCAGAAGGACTTCATAGGGTCCATCCCACTTAGGCTGCAATTTGTCCTCAGGGTGTTGACTTTTCCAAGTCTTGAGGAGGACCCAATCCCATGGGCTTACACAATGCAGAGGAATGTCGGTAGGAAACATTAATCGGGTAGAGGCATATTTATGTATAGCAGATAAAGTAGCACCTAGAGACTGTACACATTTTATAGCATCCAATTCTTTTACAACATGACCATCTTCAAGATTGCAATAATACTTAGTCTTAAGGAAAGGTGTCCCGTATAACATTTCATAAGGGCTTAATTGAAGCCTACTTCTAGGGGCTACTCTTACACTAAGCAGGGCAACTGGCAAGACCTTATCCCATGTTAGGTTGGTTTCCTGGCATATTTTAGCAATTGTTTTCTTTAAGGTATGGTTCATCTTTTCAGTCTTTCCTGTGGACTGAGGTCTCCATGAAGCATGTAAGTTCCATTGTATCCTGAGGGCTCCAGACAACTCTTGTGTTACTTTGACTATGAAAGCTCCTCTGTTGTCACTTTGAATTGAAAGAGGCAGCCCAAAATGAGGGAAAATTTCCCTTAGTAAGGCTTTTGTTACTTTAGAAGCCTTTTCTGTCCTGCACGGAAAGGCTTCGTCCCATCCTGTGAAGGTGTCCACAAATACCAGCAAATATCTATAATTTTCCATGGCTCTTGGCATAACAGTAAAGTCTATTTGCCAATCATCTCCTGGTTCTGTCCCTTGGGTTTGCACCCCTTGGATTATTGGTGGTGGTCCGGTTTGGGGATTGTTTCTGGCACAAATCAAGCAATTTTTTACTACTTTCTGGATAGTTCTTTGCATTTGTGGACCAACAATAAACTTTTGTAGCCAATGGTAGGTTGCATCTCTCCCATAATGGGTTCCCTGATGCAAGTGAGTAATGATTTCTTCCATTAAGTGCTCAAGTATAAGCACTAGTCCCTGTTCATTATAAATCCAGCCTTCTTTAGTTGTTTGGTACTGATTACCATCTGACCTTCAAGAGTCTGTATGAAATCCCCATTCTTCTGCTCTATTTAAATCCGTTTCTGAATACTGAGGCTTAAACAGGGACAAATCCATACTTGGGATGAGTGCTAGGGCCTTAGGATTTGGGGTTTTGGTTCTGGCTGCCTTTTTGGCTGCCTGATCAGCCAGATTATTTACTTTAGCTATATAACTATCAGTCTTTTGGTGGCCCAGGCAATGTGCTATGGCCACTTTTTGTGGCATCATAACAGAATCTAACAAGGCCAGTATCTCTTCTGCGTGTTTAATCTCTTTTCTTCCTGAAGTTAGTAGACCTCTCTCTTTCCATATAGCTCCATGTGCATGCACGACAGAGAAGGCATACTTAGAATCAGTATAAATGGTTACCTTTCTCTTAGCTCCAAGATGTAGGGCTCTCGTGAGGGCTATGAGTTCTGCCTTTTGGGCAGATGTACCTGGAGGGAGGGCTTCTGATTCTAGGACCTCCTGGTGAGTTACTATTGCATACCCAGCCTTTCGAAGTCCGTGGTCCATGAAGCTGCTCCCATCAGTAAACATTTCTATATCTGGATTCTCCAGAGGCTGGTCAGTCAGGTCAGGTCTGCTAGAATAAACTCCTTCAACTATTTGGATACACTCATGGACAGGTTTTGCTTCTGTAGTGGGAAGCAAAGTGGCTAGATTTAGGGTGGATACAGCCTTTAATTTTACATTTGGGTTGTCCAGTAGTGTGGCCTGATATTTTCCTAGCCTCCCAGAGGTGAGCCAGTATCCTCCCTTCTGTTCCAAAAGAGAAAGTACACTGTGATGGGTGTGCACAGTAGTGGGCTGACCCAAAGTAAACTTTTCTGCCTCCTGTAACCGGTCACAGGTGGCCACTACTGCCCTCAGGCAGACTGGCCATCTTTTAGTCACTATATCCAGCTGTTTTGAGAAGTAAGCAACAGGCCTTCTCATGTTACCCAAATTCTGGGTTAGCACCCTGAGGCTAACTCCTTGCTTCTCATGGACAAACAGGTCAAACGGCTTTTGAATGTCTGGAAGGCCTAGAGCAGGTGCAGTAAGCAGCTTCTCTTTAATGATTTGGAAGGCTCTATGGCATTCTCCAGTCCAATTAAGGGGTTCATTATCTCCACCCTTGAGATCCTCATAGAGGGGCTTAGCTATCAGTCCGAACTTAGGGATCCAGATACGGCAGAATCCTGCCATGCCCAGGAACCCTTGCAACTGTCTTCTGGTGGTGGGCAGAGCCACCCTAGCTAATGCCTCCCTTTGATCTGGCAATGTTTCTTTGTCCTTTTGATAACTCAAATCCTAAGTATTTTACAGTTGGTTGAGAAATTTGTGCTTTTCTCTTAAAAACTGTATATCCCTGTTCTGCCAGAAAGTTTAAAGTAAGGATTGTATTTTGGTCTAAGGCTTCCTTAGTTTTACTAGCAATCAGTATGTCATCCACATATTGGAGTAAGACTCCTTCGCTTAACTGGAGATCCCTTAAGTCCTTGGTTAAAGCTTCCCTGAAGATGGTGGGCACATTTTTAAATCCTTGTGGGAGTACCATCCAACAATATTGTTGTTTTACATTAGTCTCTGGATCATCCCATTCAAAGGCAAACAGTTCCTGGACTCAGGACTTAAGGGTATGCAATAAAAGGTATCCTTTAAGTCCAGAACTGTAAACCAGCAAAAGTCTCCAGATAAAGTTGTAAGCAAAGTATAAGGATTTGGTACCACCGGGTGTATATCCTCTATGATTCGGTTAATGGCTCTCAAATCCTGTACAAAATGGTAGTCTCCGGTCCCAGGTAGCAAAATGGATGTAGATAAACTTTCCATCTTTTTGGGATCATCTCCATAAGTAGGCATGTTGTTTTTCCAGTTGTGTAAGTCCAAAGTTGAAAAGGGAGCGTGCACATACAAAAACCCTCTGGGTTGGCCTTGTTCATCGAGACCTGCAGGAACTTGCCTTAGGGGGAATTGCCCTGCCTGGGGTGGAGCATGCCCTGGGCCGAATTGGGTACCCCGACGGGTATGAGACGGGAAGACCATTCCTGTCTGACTATTAGGAAGAGGGGGGTATAAAGCCAAGCCAGCGGCTTCAGGGGGCTCATTGTGCCCTTCCTGGTCATCTCCAACTGCGCCTCTGGCATAGGGTGGGGGCGCTGTAGGAGACAGCAAATGCGGAAAGACAAGGTCATCATCTGACTTTGATTCTGGGAGAACAGGTTTTTTCTGTGGATCCTCCCTCTGAATCATGATCTTACATCTTTTTTCCAAATTCTTATTTTGATATAAAGACATAAAAGACTGCACATAAGGGATTTCGTCCCATTTCTTTTCTCTTTTACAGAATAGGTCTAATTGCAAGATAGTATCATAGTTCAGAGAACCGTTCTGGGGCCGTACCTCATCTGACTCCAATGAGTATTGGGGCCAGCTTATATTACAAAAGAAAATAATTTTATTTTTCTCCGTGGGCTTATAACTGAACATTGCCCAATTTTGAAGAATGTATCCCAGTGGGGTACATTCTCATATACTATTTTTATTTCTCATTTTGAGGGGGCTTTTATCAAGGTGGCCGCAGCAAAGTCTTTCCAGGGAAAGGTGTTTTAAGGTGTGCTTGTGGGAACAGCTCCCCCAAGAATAATCGAGGGGTTAGCTATTTCCCTTACATATTCCAGCACCCAGAGAGTTCAGGTGACTTAAGCCCCGGACGAGCTGCTGCTACCGATTGCCTCACCACGAATAATGAGGGCCCAGTAAGACATGATCTTCAGGTGGGGTCCCTATGAGGCTGTTGCACGTCATGGGCAGTCGCCCTGACACCTCTGTAAAGTCCCCAGTAAGCCAATTTTAACAAATAACAGAGTCAAACATAGACAAACATAAACAGACACAGAAATCCAATACTCTGGGACCCTACCCCAGAGCTCGGGACTCTAACCCCATCCTTTTGAGAGCCCCAGTGGCTGTAACTCTTTTATATTATCTTCCTAAAACCCACAATCCTAGCCTTGGGACTTTAACCAGCAACCAAATCTCACCAGTGGGGCCTCTAACCCATGATGCTGACAAGATATTAGACAATTTTAGGCACCAGTGCATTTTAACGAGGTCACTCATGCAAAAGATGTCTGATCCTGGAGCTGTTTTCTTCTCCCAAAGGAAAAAAAAGACGCCTTTGGGCCTGGAGCGCCACAGCAGGGAAACGGGAGTCCAATCAGTCGAGCCTCTAGACCAGTTGTCTAGGCGGCCGCTTAGGGTCAATGACCCCACACCACGCCAGGAGTTTCAGAGCCTCAGGTGGGTGGTCACAGGACCATGTCCCTTCGTGGTTACCAATTGTTACTGCAGAAAATTGGGGTTCTCTGCCCAATGTGCATAAATGAACCAATTAATTATGGCACCAGCCTTTGAGGGGAG